CTCCTGGGTTCAAGTAATTCTCCTGCCTCAGCCTCCCAAATAGTTGGGACTACAGGCATGTGCCACCATGCCCAGCTAATTTTTGTATTTTTAGTAGAGACGGGGTTTCACCATGTTGACCAGGATGGTCTCGATCTCTTGACCTCGTGATCCACCCGCCTCGGACTCCCAAAGTGCTGGGATTATAGGCGTGAGCCACCATGCCCGGCCTAGATTTATTCTTAAGTACAATATTTTATATTTTTAAATGATATTGAAGAGATCTTTCTAAAAACTTTCACTTCTCTTAGTTGCTGATATCCAGGAATACTACTGACTTACGTACTGATTGTGAATGTAGCAACTTTGCTAACCCCTAGGTGTTAATTGAATAGTCTACATATATAATCATATCAACACATCACCATAATTTCCTGGCCCTAGGAAAGAAAAACCCACAGAATTCCATTGACTATAAGTTATTATTTAACAATACACAATGGTTTTCATTTAAAGAGATGTTTCTAGTTGTATAAATGCTGTAAGTAACACGATAGCTGGAAACAGTGTAGCCACAGTACCATCTTTAAATCACCCAAATAACTGAGGTACAATTCTATCTGCTTATGAGTTCACTAGGCACCAAGTTTTAGGAATCATACAGTCTTCGACTCTGCATCAATACAAATAAACTGCCTAAGAAAGGTACACTAAAAATTTAACATATTGACTCATAAATTCTAATTAAGTTCTCCATAGGTGAAACATGGCTAGGGAAGTTATGATGAATCCTTCAGAAACAACTTCTCAGAACCTTGGACAATACACTTCCCCACAAGGCTTCCTGGTGTTCTGGCAGCACTAACAGGACTCCCGTTGTTGCCCTTTCCCTTTGCTCACATCTTTCTATATGGCAAAAAACAACTTCTGGATAAATGATTTCCGCCACATTATTGGGTAGCACAACACAGAGCACACTGTGGATACTCAACAGCAACCTCTTTGCAAGAGATATTTGCCTCAGGGCCCCAGGAAACTAGAAACCATCTAGAGGCTGAAAGCTCTAAACTAGACAAAATGCCAGGGAGCCCTAATGACAGAAAAGACCCAAAAGTGAAACTCTCATTTTTGAGCTTTGAAGGAAACAGAGAAATGAGTTTATTACATGATATAACCTTTGGGTTGTCTCCACATACTAAATAGGAAAACTGAAGGAGTTTAAAAGTACACTTTCTAAGTTTATAGGATGATGAAAATGTTCTAGAGATGAATAGCTGCTCATAGTTACAAAACAATATGAATACATTTAATGCCAGTGAACTATATACTTAAAAATCGTTCAAGTGGTAAATGTTATGTGTATTTTACCACAATTAAAAAATTTTAAAGATGCATTTTCTATTGTTAAAAACTACCAGGTATTATTTAGTAATCATAGTCATTAAGGGCACTAATCATCAAGATCTGACAGCCCTGTGTTTGAGATTTGACTCAACCTGTTACAACTGTGGAACGTAGAAGCCAGTCATTTAAGCCTCAGTTTCCTTATCTGTAACACAGGAATAACAACATGCTTACCCACCCATTATAGGCTGTTGTGAACTTGAAATAATTTATGTAGGAACTTAGTAAAGTTCCTGGCACACAGAGAAAGCTCAACACATGTTGGCTCTAATTTTTTTTTTAGGTTTTCACTGTAATATGATTCTAGTATATTTTGTACAATGAGGACTAAAAACAAGGCTTAACCTTAAACTCCCAAACTGTAAGAGGCAACAATTTAAAAGAAGCCATGAGAACTTGAAATAATTTAACAAGTTGATATATATATATATATAACCAAGTATAACACAGTCATACAAAAACATTTAGTAGAAATTATAATTCACACATACAAAAACAGGCTACTTTATTTTTTGTCCCTTTTATATCCTATTTTAGACAAAATGATAAAACTCAGAAAATAACAGGAATGTACTAGTCCTAAAAACTGGACATTTTATAAATGAAACAGATATGATCACCTATACATTCTCTTAAATTCCAAATAATGAGGCTTACTGGCCTGTACTCTCAAAATCAACTTAAATAAATTTTAGCTTGATTTGGATGGAATATATACTCTTTCAATAGTTGATAATCCAGATAGAGTAAGTATATAAAATGATTCATAAGTCAAAACATTTCATACAAAAGGAATGGTTTTAACAAAACCCAGACAATATCAAGAGGAAATGCACTGAACTTAAAAACTTCTGAAACAGGCATTTTTTGGACCATTTAAAAAATACCAAAAAGTTCAGAACCGTTGAAAAACAAGTTTATATAAAATAAAGCCAAGGGGTGAAAAACTATCAAATGTATTAAAACCATCTAAAGCCAAATACAATATAACTGAACTATATAACTTAGAAACGGGTTTAAGTGCATTTTCTTTGTACAATTTAATTGACTATCACATGTAAAAACTGGCAATTAAGTAACATGCAATTAAATACAGATTTGCAAGCCTTTTGGCCATTATGTAAACATTAAAAAATTAAGTGAATTGCCAATTGAAAAATAAGAGCTTACATACATATCTTTAAAAAGTACAAATGGTAAAAGATGCACTATAAAATTGTGTGAAAAAAAATATTCATACCAAACAAAGATCTTTTTAGGCACTTGCATTCAAAAACATTCCTTTTATAAATAAGCACTTACAATAGTTTCACTCCAAAAAAATAAACCTGATTTTCCCCAATTGCACCTATCAGTTGAGAACTATATCATATATTAAGGATGCATTCAAATGGACCATTTTATGGGGAAAGTCAAATGACCTTTTAAAAAATATGAATCCACGTGTATCTTATTCACAACTTCACAAATACAGAATTTAAAGATAATTCCAGTGAGGCACAAATGTGACCCTATCAAAACATTCTACCATTCAATATTACCAACAGAGGATAATACAATACAACAACAACAGGCAAAACCCATGATTTAGCAGTTCCATACAAAAGGGGCCCTGTCAAAACACTCTTTCATAAAACAAGCACAATACCACGAAACTACACAACAACAACAAAAACCCTGAAATTTGACAACCCTATACAAATTGTGGAATTTCATCTTCAAGGTCTTCAAACTGTTGCATTCGTTTTAGCCTTGGTCTCTGACACGTTGGATTCACATCAGGCAAGCCAACTTCCTCAGAGTTCTCTTTAGGTTGACCAGTTCCCTGCCCAGGACAAGCCGATGCTTTGTCTGTGTCTGGCATTGACTTCACCATGAGACCCTGGGGATCATGAGCTGTGCCAGAAGGCACTGCTGTTGAGGGTGAAGCTGGCTTCTCCTCATTCCCCCTGACACTGATGGCGGGAGCATGTGGTTTATAAAATGTTGTCCAGTGTTGAGGCTGCAGTGTTCTGGGTGCTCTGACAGGAGCAAGAGGGTAGGAATCTGAAGACCGTCTCTCAGACACCTCTCTCACTGACCTGACTGGCTCGATGTATGGCTTACTGGGCTGAGTGGCATTGACAGAATGGTCCCCACCAATCTGGAGGGGTGTCGCCACTCCTTTTTCCTGGAGTGCACAGGGCACGATCACTGTAGTCTTGACAGTTACACTGTTTTGTTCATACTGTTTATCCTGAATTTTCTGTAGAGTTTGTTGGTCAAAGCCATTAAATTTGGAACAAACAGTAGTAGCAGTGTCTTTTCTATTAACTCCTTCAAAGGCGGGATTCTTGTAAAACTTGTCTAAATTGACATTTCCTATATTTCTGCCATTTCTCCCATTAGGAGGGCTTGCAAGAAGTAGTCTATCTATAGGCAAACTTACAGGTCTAATCTTGGTCCTTGGAGTACGCCTCTCCAGATTGTTTGTTGACCTATCAGATTTTAGAGAAAGTGGCTTAGGGGTTTTACCATCTTCTGTCTTTTGGGATGCTAATTCAACTTCTTGGTCTAGAAGCAACTGTGCTTTGTCTGAAAATGAAAGAAATCTATTTAATTTCATCTGAGAGTCTGAATGAGTTAGAGATGAATACTCTATCAAGACAACAGGAGTCTTACATATTTTTTCCAACATAATATTTTCAGTTATCTATGCAGAGGAGTTAAATATTTGCACAGTATTAAAGGTGCATATTGAATTTAAAAGTTCAAATTTTTTACTTATTTAAATCAATATGATGAACAGCTACAAAATACAAAAAAAACACTGGCTGAGTAACTTTAAATGCTGTGCATGAACAAGTACTTTCTGGGTCAAAAGACTATCACGATTTCAAAAGGCAGACATTGGAAAATAAACCTCAGAAAAGTGACACTAATTTACACACCAACCAGATGTAAGTATGCCCTGAATCTCAAGGATTTTGCCAACTCGCTCAATCTGCTTTTTAGTTATACTCAACTGAGTGACAGCATATCATATTAGATGCCTTAGATACTCTCCATATCTGATCAACTAATAAAGCATAACATCCATTCTGTCAAATGAAGGCTGAATGCTTTTAAGTTAAAAAAAAAAAGGCCATTTTCCCTATCTGCTCCCAGATTTTCTTTCTTCTGCAGTCTGAACCCACAGTCCATGTTTTCTCACTTAGAAGTCTCAGTTCCTCTAACTCTATGCTTTTTTGCTGCATCTATCCTAACAAATTCCAATTCCAGGAATGTTCCAGCCCTCCACTCTCCTGCTTTTCTGTTCACTGCTGAAACACACACATTCAACAACTCCATGCCTTGACACCATCCTGACTGGGCTGCAGCCGGTCTGAAGCAC